AAAATGACCGCAACAAAAAGGCAAAAAAAGGGTGCAAAAAAAGGATTAAAACTGGGAACAACCGAAAAAATTACCAGTAAGCGCCAAAGACGCTTTGGCCAGTACCACTTTAATCGATCCAAGATATCTTGGATCAAAGAAAATTTGACAATAGTCAAATTTCGTTTCGTGTTTACTCAAACACTGTTTTCCACGTTATTTCAGCTGAAAATCTCGATCAGTATGGCACGCCAAAAAATCGAGTTTCCGCGTAGTACTCACAGAGAAAAGGGTGAAAGCACTGGCCTGCAGTTTTAACCTGTTGGGCACCATCAGTAGTGCGCATCCATCGGATCCATCAGGATTCGAACCCATGAACATCAGCGGCTTGCACCGTCAGTCAACACCTGGTGCCACTGGGTCACGAGGTTAGTTTCATCTTATAGGTCATTAACTACTGGATCCGAAGTGCCTTATAGAAGGAAGATGGGTAGAAGCTTATAGTTTAACCTTGAGTTGGAGTTATATTCGGTATTAATTCCTACTAGTTCCTCAATCGTGCTGCGCAGTATTACATAAAACGAGTTTATATCACAAGATGAATACGCAGAAAATGGTATAAAACCGTACGACAAGATACCTCAAAAAAAACAAAGTTTCTGGCTTATTGCTGTATTTCTTGAATAACCAAAAACCTAGAATCAAAAATATAAAATTTCGCCCACCGCGATTGTGACGCCCCAGTGACCAATTGTCAAATGGAAATACAAAGCGCCTCTGCATTTTGTAATCTTTCGAAAGAGTAAAACAATGCCCTAAGCGAAAGCACGTAATAAAGAGCGAATTCTTATTTAATTTTAACATCCACCTCGCAATTTTGCTTTACTGTGCATATAACGTTACCGTTTTGTATTAGACCGACGCTGGTCGCCGGCATTTCTCAGCAGGTACTCATAAAATGTAACGTGATTAAGGCCCGTACATAACATGGCCACCGTTTACTCGAATCCAAAGCTTAAGCCTCGGGAATTAGCTTTGAGCAAACTTTCTACACAATATGAGGATCTCGATATGTGGATTCATAATTATTTGCCTAACGGAGATATATCTGAGACTGAAAAACAGCATTTACGGGATGTGATGCTAAGAGATCAAGCAATGAAAAAGAACGACACAGCCAGAATCAAGTGAGTTATGTTTTGAGACCAGGTTGCATCACCTAAATTTCTGTTATTTGTGATGTAGTTCTCTTGGACCAGTTCTTCCTTTCATCCGCCTTGTAATGCGCATTTTTTCAGAACTACGGTTGACAGCAGTTTCTGATGCGGGAATCCCTTTCTCCCCTGTATGTATTTCAGCATAGTACTCTTCTAGGTGTAAAACCAGGATTTTTTTCCATGTTTGCAGGTTTGCATTTACCCCTGCTTGCAATATGATGCGCCATGTGCTTCATACGCCTGCTGCAGCGCAAACATTCATTGCATTGCACTTCCTTTAACGTGTTCGTTACAGTCACTAAGGTGCAGTCAAATTAAACGCATTCGCACACTTCGCCCCCGTAGCTGTGGCTAATGGTAAATGTAATTTAGGTCTAGGTGGATAACTACACTCATAAAAATTCATTCAATAAATATTCGATCCTCATAATGACCCGGAAATCATACGCATTTCGAAAACAGTAATTCAACAAATTCTTCAGAGCATACAACTACTTAATTAAAAATAAAATCCTTTGACTTTGCTCAACAATTTTGCAGTTGTGAAGCGCTGTCCTAACAGCTAAACTTGGTGTGATTTTGAAAAGTATCAGGAGGTAAGTGTTCCACCACTTTCCGGTTAAAACAACGAAGTTGGTGTTCATATTCTTGGTTATGATACGTCAATGGAATCTCTACCGTATATACTTCGTTATATTTTAACTCCTTACTACTCTAGGTGTGTTTTATGCCTGTAAATTTCGTCATTTTGTGACAAAACACAGGCATTGAACCGCTAATTTCTCCATATAACAGTATATGATATAGATATTTTCCCAAAATCTCTTAGTTTGTCGAGGTACTACTTCATTTAGTCTAGGCTTAAGCTAACTGCTTGACTTCACGGTGTCACATTTTCAAGTTACGGAGATTTGATTGGCCATTTTCTTGGGGGTCCGTCTTTCAATTTTAAATAAATTTACTTGTTCTTGTTTTAATGTTTTGCCACGCATCTTTTCTCGTTCTATACTACCGATGATGTTGTTAATGTTCATGGTGACGGCACTCCCCTGTACTCCAGTTATAGTATCCATGCGCAGACTGGAGACTATTGACTGGAAACGGGCATTGTATTTAATGGGACAAATTTGTTCTTTTCTGCTGAACTAACTCAGCCTTAAATTGTTGAGATAAGTTGGTATAAATTTCGTTCAGCTTTTAGTGAAATAGGACAATGCGACTTGATTAATTGAACTGATCAGTATGCATATAACAGGATCGTGGAATGATAAAATCGGAGAATACACGACAATTAACCAAAAGCAGAACTATAACAGCAAACGATCAAATAGCGAGATGTGTGTTTATTGCAGTGCCCTTGCAAGCCTCTGTGTCTTGAACGGTACTGATCAGAACTTAACTGCAGGATTCGTAATTGCGTATGTGGGGATGAATCCAAAAGCGCAGGGATTCGATGGCGATGAAACTGTTCAACATAGCGTCTAATACACTCTGTAATTAACCTGGTCGTCTCATAAACTTTCAGTGTCATAATTTTATATATCATGGATCTATTTTCGCCTTCCAGTCGTCAAGTTAATTTGTTGAATGTCAATCCCCATCACTTGTGTTTGACGGTTGAGCCACCAATTATCCATGCTCTCACTCAAGCACTTCTGTATGCTTTCAGCTCTTCTCATATCATATCTTGGGTCTATTCGAGCTGCTTTTCTACATTTTCCTAGGCAATTTACACTTTTCTTACCTGTTAGCTTTAGCAACTATTACTCTATTCATACGAAAGGAAGACCATGCTTCATGCATACATTAGGTACATTTTTATGGTAGGTCACACATGCACACGCACCTTCTACTTAAAGCAAAACGCATTCTTATACGCTGTTTATACAAATATACTGTCAGCCACTAAGTCAAGACCTAGCTGCCCAAGAGGATCATGGAACTTAAGTTGAAATCGTTGCGCTACGATTGGCAGTTCTAGTGGGAGGCGGGAAATTACAATATGAACCCGTAAGACAACTTTATATATGCGGTTATGTTTAGAGAATGACTAAGCTTGTGTGAAACATAACTGGAGATATTGTGCCCAGAATGTTGGTAAGCAACTAGATACAGTATTTATTTCTTCAGGTTGTTGTTCATTCAGTTTCGCATAAATAACTGAGATAGAAAGGACGAATTTAGGTGTGGCTAACTGGGGTCGGAGTCACCAGTTTATAAAGGTGCTCGGCGGTGATTATATGTGTCGCAGATTATCTTTCTTGTTGGAGAAGAACTAAAGTAATTTCAGTTTACCGAATAGTATATTTTGGTTGCTCTCACAAATGGAAGATGACCTGCCCTCAGCGCACCAGGATGAAAACCAAAGTACTACCAGAGAGACGGTTGCAAAACTGTGCTTCAAAAAGATGAATGTGTGCAATAATTTGTTCGAAGTGGTGTAATGCGGTCTTTGCTTTAGGTCCATCTGTATTTCAAAGTCCACCAAATCCTGGGTTAACGACCCGCCGAAGTAGAAACACCCACGGGATAATCCTATCGTTCCAATTCCACTTGAACTAGTCCAGTCACTATGTCAGCTGCGTGGTGCGTGTATTCCTATCTACGCTGGCCTCGCTTTCAAATTTATGCCAGTGATCCTCTTCATCAGCCAGGTGTTAAGTTGGTGGCTGGCAATATATTTGTATAAAGAGCGTAGAAGAATGCTTTTTGCTTCAAATAATACGTGCATATGTATGTGTGACGTACTGTAAATGTGTACCTAACCTATGTACGATGAATGATACCCCTACAATACCCACCATATCAAACAAACTGTTATTCACACAGTGTCATGATGCAGTGAATACCAATTATTTTGTAACTGTGAAGTGAATAGTGGTGGATATTTGCACTCCAACCCACTAAGGTGACCAGTGGAGAATATGGGTGTAGGAAATGGAGCAAGGGCCTTTTACATGGAAAGAAATTAAACGTACCATTACAGCGGACGTATGGGGTTTTTTGGAGTAACCCATACTTCAACCAGTAGCAGTGATAGTTAAATGCATGCCAGGCAGGAATCAGAAAGGGATTTGTATCTTATTTCGGATGCCCTGATGTCGATGTTGCGCGTTATGACACAATAGTGATGACACGTAAGAGACATATCAAATACGTAAAGAAGAAGAATAGGGAGTGAACCCTACCTAGGGTATGCTGCATAGAGCCAGAAGAAACGAAGCTCAGTTTAGAAAAATCAGCGAGTGTAGCGAACGACTCCGCAGGCAGAAGAAAGTGAAGACGATTTGCCATTAATAGGGCAAATCGACAATTGTAGCTTATAAACGACAGTTAAATTGAATGCTGCAAATTTCTAAATGAGTAAATATTTCAGATTTACTAAAAGGAATAGATAGTAAATTTAGATGCTCCCAAACATAAATATTGAAAATTCACTGGTAATAACCGGCTAAAGGCCATCTGAACGTATTTCTACGACTAGATGCTTTAACGCTATTTAGGTAAGACGTTGAACTTTTAAATATTTACTCATTGCACGCAAGAGAATTGTTAAATGACACAATAAAATCATATTACAGAGCGTACGATTATATTGAATACTGGGAATATGCAGTGAGTAGAGTTGCCACCGTGTAGCTACATTCAAAATCTTTTAAGCAAATCTGCCTGTTTTGATGATGCTTATTCTCGAAGTCTTATGTCACCAAAGTACGACCCAAGGAGTTTCTGTAACTCCGACACCGACTTTGCTTCGACTATATCTGCAGACAGGTTGTTGCAAATATTCACCACCCTCTGCTAGAAGCAGAGTTAGTGAGCGACGCGCTTCAAATCCGTTACGACAAGCTTGTACCGGTGTCCTCGTATTCTGCTTGGTGTGCGCAGATGAAACAGCGGCCTCAACGTGGGGTCATCACCCATATGTAATGTTTGGTGCGTCATGATGACTGAAAAACGGCGCAATTTATTCAATCTAAATCTTGTTCGGTGTCTATGAACCTTGATGATCAGTAGTTTAATAGAACTGTTGAAACATAGGGTACATGAACAACAGCCTTGAAGCAATCACCTATACGATCACCAGTAGTGGAACTTGAAGGAGTGCGGATTCCGGGATTGTTGTATAGTTAAATGGATGAAGTGGACAAGGGCGAGTGTTAACACAGTAATTCAGCGGGCAGACAAGTGAAAAGATGGATGCAATCGAACATGAATGCAGAGTGTGGAGAAATAAAATAAGGATAGCTTTTGCGCGGTTGATCTGTGATCAACACATATATAAAATCTAAAAGTCACCTATCGTGTCGCTACATTAATTGCCGTGGCATAAGAATCGAGAAGGTTCAGGTTATTATCGCCGCGCTCCAAAGGAAAGCATCAAATTCGTTTAGCTAGCACAGGAGAATACATCGATCTGGGGTGTACAGTTAGTAAAACGTGGCTTTTAACTATATCTTATCAGTAATATTGAAATCATACAACAAAGTTCTGCAAAATGTCATCTGAATGAGATTGCACATGCAGCTTCAAACCTCCGTCTAAAAGTGCTTACCTAGCATCCCCAGAATATTTACTGGCTAAATATATTCTGTCGCTATTGCGATCGCTGTTCAGTGGCTGTCAAGAAACCGACAGATTTTGGTAAAATCAAATGATTCCCTTGAGCCCAAAACTTGTGCATCCCGAAAGAATGTGGTCATCACTCGGCGCATCCTAAAGTTTTCTTACTTTTGAAACTGGTTAGTTTGTTTGCGCTTTTCATTTCTACTCTGAGCAAATACGAACTGGCTTCTGAGGCCGGCGGGCGTTGTTTCCATTGCTGATGAATTGGACATAGAAGCTAGGCATTTCCATTGTGCCCAGTAAATGTCTGACGTACTGCGATATACAAATATCTTCAGTTAGGCGAAACAGCTATAGGACTAGTAAATATCTGTCCGAGACAGGAAGTTTAATCAGTCGCGGAT